CCATGAATAGTAGAGGTTAGTGATAATCAAGTTTGATACATTTTTGGACAAAATATTCTCACATTGTTATTGTACATACAAATCATTAACAGTTTTGATAAGCAAAACATTTTCCATCTATCTTCAATATTTTTAGTTGCTAATTTTGTCATACTGCATTTGTTCTATATTGAGAATTTAAAGTCTATTAAATCAAATAAATGAGTGTAAAATAAATATATATATACACACACACACACACACACACACACACACACACACACACACATACTTAAGCTTGTGCCAAACAATACTGTCACTATTTTAAGGATCCATTTATTTGTTCATTTGCTGTGAGAGTTTTACACTGAGTATGTTACACTGGCACCACGATCATAAGAAGAAATAAGAATTTAGATATAATAGCTGTTATATTTATATAGATTTATATCACCGTGTTCACCACTTCTTTCTATCTAGAGTCATATATTACACGTCAAAGTAGTATTTCATGTTGATTTATTTTTAAAAAAGCCACAAATGGTACACGTTGAACCTGTATCATCACCAACTGTTCACTTACTTATTAAAATAGATATTTAAAAATGAGCACTGTACACTACTTTGACAAATTGATTGCACCTCTTTGCTCACTTTTTGTCTGCTTCTGTGAAATAATATTCACATTTTCAGTTCTACTCAATGTTAAGATAGTCTTAAAGATATTTATATTTATTGTTAACACCATATTATATGTTTTTTCTCATATGAATACGTAAAGTAAACTCTATTATGGATGACACTACGTTTTGTGCCTCTTTAAGTTAAACTATGTACTGTATGTGTTGGATTCATTTCACATGAATACATGTACCACTCTTTTTTTTAACCTTATATTTCCAAAGTCCTTCAGCACATTATGCCCTAGAAAACAATATTTTCCAACCATGCCGCTTCCTGTATTAGAAACAAACAGGTGCCTCTTGTACTGTATGAGTGCATTGATTGTTTTACTTTAACAATGTTTCTGTCGAGAGGTAACTAATAAATACTATTCTAAAGAAGTGTTGATTTCATGATATTGCCTTATCGATCTGCTCATTGTGGCTCTTGTTAAGTCTAAATTTAACAGATGCATTGTCTTTACTTTGACTAAAAATAGAGTTGTAAAATCAGCAACATCAGTGCAAATATCTGATCATATGCAGTAGATTTTTTTGTAAAGAGCGCACTCTAGTGGTCATGCAGAAGATAACAACCTACTTCTGATTATTTAAAAATGGGGTCACCACAAAGTTGGTGCAAACTTGTTTAAGTTATGACAAACCATTTAATGCATAAAAGATGTGAGGTGTTATTACAAAGTATCCCACACTGTCATTTGCCCATGTCTGTGATCTGATGTTTTCATCTTTAAGATAACTGATGCAACTGCTCACTTTAATTAACTCTCTTGTCCTTTTACATTCATGTTTAGAGTAGATAGGACTTTGAACTTGATGCGTAAAAAACAAACTGGTGCATAAAAATAGCCAAGATGCAGGAAACGAAGAGTCTGACACTCCAGATCTCCTGGTGGAGGACCCTCAGACCCCCTTTTGATTACTTTCCTCCAAGCATGGGGCCACTGTGAAGGTGTCCTTTACTTTTACACACTGAAGGTATGTATAAGTTATAATACATGGTTATTGGATGGACACTTCCTTTCTGACCTTGCATGTTCAATTCCATGGTTGTGTGAAGGAGTGTGCAGATTTAGAGTCAAAACACTGATTTTCAGGTGTGAAAGTAATTTCTGGGACCAAGTCTATATTTTGATTAGTACTGATAGTGTTGAAATTAGAATTATATAACTTAGAAAAAAGAAGAGAGTGGTCTCTTTGGTAAAATGTGAGGTATTTCATCTTTGCTGACTTTAAACTACCATGCTGCTACAGCTTGCTTAACACTGGATGACAGAGGTGGGGATGGTTGTAACACCTCTCATGAAAGTGTTACAACTAACCTTAATGACAACTAAACACAGTTTATCTATCTGTCTCACACAGGAAAGAAAACCTGATAGGGGTGTGCTTGTACATGTACTAAAATCAGCATCAGATGAGGTGAGGCAGATGAGTCAGGTTAGACAGTGACGTCTCTCCCCAAATAATACTCAATCTGCCATGGACACTGAGCAGATGAGAGTACAAATCCTCAGAGGAAGAGGACCAACAAAGCTGCCCTGTGTGGGCGATCACAGCAGTCAAAATGTCTTCAATGCACAGCAAGAGAATGACTTGACCAGTTACTTAACTGAGGCAGCAGATATTTTGGACTCACTGCCACGTGAGGTACAAAGCATCTGATGAGTGCACATGAGCCAGTTACACCTTTGTAAAAAGTTGGAAACATTGCTATTTGTAGTAAACAAATAAGGGTACTGTGTGTCAATATTTGAGAGCTCTAACAAAAATTCAGCAAGTTATAGGTGCTGAGACAAAAAGTGTTTAGTCTCCCCTAGACGAATATAGGGCTACCAAGAGTACCCCGTCAGTCGTGCCACGGAAACAGTGAAGGAGAAAGGATAGGAGCGGGGAATGTTTGGTGTGTTTGTGGACTCATCATGTGCTACTTTCTTCTGGCTGGTTATCGGCAGGCAGTCAACAGCAACGTTACCTAGCTAGTTGAATTTGTGTGGGACAGCAGACCAATGTGTAGTTTGCTAGCTTGAGTCTGAGTCACATGTCCCAGTCAGCCATTGCCCTCACACTGTACACAAATGCACATTTATTTACCAGGATTTACAAACCGTGACCCTTTGAACCATGGCATAACCTTGAGTCAGGGGCCTCAAACATACAGAACTGGCCAAATCCTTCTTTCTCTCAAACTTAGACAAAACTCAGATTAATTGGTAAAACTAGGCAGTGCTGATCAAATATAAACCAACATTCTGATACTACTGATACTATTGCCTGTTTCTCACCTTAAATGTCGTCAAAAAATATTTTAGTGTACTGTTTGGCTGTAATACAAGAAAGAAGTGGGCACCATGCTGTTTCCTGTACTGGAAAACTGAGGCTGAGAGAGTTTTGCCTATATCTCGCCTAAAAGGGTTTCAGAACTGTTTCATAAACATATTTTAGCTTACCTCAATTCCAGATTGTTTTTGTTACCAGCCGGCCACCATATTGTTTCTGTTGAAACAGTCACACATGCATTACATCACCCACCAGCGGGAGCATTTATTGGTCAGGTGTGACCCAGTGCATTGTGGTAGTTGTAGGGGTTTTTTGCCTCTTGAGCTAAAGTGACTGCTGTGAAAAGGGCTTTGTGGTATGCATGAATAATATTGTTATTAACTTTATTTATCCAGGCAGGTTTTGTTGGGAGATATGCTTTTTTTCTTGAAGGCCCTGTTCATATTCAGACAGTTAAAGTTTGCAGTTTTTTGTCAGGCTGGGCACAGGTTGATAAATTGGATCAACTCTGAAATGTAACCTGGAGCCTGGCCATGAAGAGCTGTAAAAGTACTCATCAGATATTAAAAATGAAGTCAAAAACAAATGTGTTGCGATGCAAAAAGTTATCAATTCAACCACAATTTGATTTTATGGCAACAGAGCATCTACTTAAAAGCAGTTAGCTGTTAAGGGCCTTGCTCAAGAGCCCCCCAGTGTTGGTAAGAAGGTGGACGCACCTCTTTTTCAGCCCCCCATCGTGATTTATCCAGCTAGTTCAAGCCTGCTTCAGATCTTCTAGCCCCCAGACCCTTATGCTTAGATGGATGCTACAAAAAAACCTTCACAATTTGACTGTAGGATCAGCTTTCACAGACATACAGCACCGACTAAAACAGACTTTGAGCCACTGCAGCGACAGCCTCTCCAATTTGCGTGTAATGTTACACCTGATACTACAACTAGCATAAAACATTGTGGTGTATCATTTTGTTAAAGATTAGCTTCAATAAGGCCCAATCTAGTATAGTGTGTCTTAAGATCACCTGTTAAATTTCATCACTACAGTCATGGTAGAAAGGTCTTTTGTCTGATAAGAGGCAGATTCATTGAGGGGAAAGTGAAGGTCAGGCAAAGGTCTCTTGAGCCACATAGTAAGATGAGAGGACACGCAGATAAGAGAGCTGGCATGTTTTATTTATCCCTTTGTGATACTTGGCATGGGTGTTTAAGAAATACTATTGCATGTGCATTTACTGTTTTACCTCCCCGCCCTTTTAAGATAATTCCGCAGTTTGTTTGTAGCCAGTATTGTGTCTTCATCCATTTGCACCCTACAAAAAACTAAACAAAACTTTCTGTCACCGTTGTGTTTATCCAGACAGACTATAAAAGGCATCATATCAGGTTTAATAATGCATCTTAATGACAAATTATACTGTGTACACACTGTGTAATATTAACTTCAAATTTCAAAGGTCTCGCTCATCAACAATGGCCAAATTAAGTTCAAAGGTATCACTGGAAACACATTATCACCCACACTGATCAACGTTGTATTTGCACAAAGCAATTGCATGTATTGCAGTAATATCTTGGCCCAGTGATAAGGCGTCTGCCAAAGTGACATCACAGTCACATTTAAGTAGTGGAAAACTTGTACTTGCATGTGCTTCAACATGATTGTTAAGGTTTGTCTTTTATTGTTTGGGTGGAGGTGGTGGTGCTATTTGACATACAGGGACCAAAAAACAGACATTAAACACATGATTGTGTTTCAAGTTAAAGTTCAGAATATGTTTGTATTTGCTGCACGCTCTATCACTGTTCTGCACTGAACACATGGTGAAGCTATGACCAACGCCCTGCACAAACAAACATGCAGGTAAAAGAGGATACCAACCACTCTGCTGTTCAACAAGTATACAATATCATAATGTGTTTTACTGGGCGTGGAGCTGTTCTGTCCAGGAAGACCATAGCATTACCCAATCAGCTGCAGCTGTGGATATTGCCTGGAGAAAATGTGAGCTTTAGTCGGCCACATCAGCATTTTGATTAGATGTCGAGATAGGAGGGTGCGCGGTTTAAAAGGAGTGGCAGACCTTGAGTGAGACACTCCTCGGCCTCCTCCTTGCTGCAGTCACCCAGCTCACCCTCGCAGCCACCATGACCTTCAACGGCACCTGGAAAATCGATCGCAATGATAACTATGAGAAATTCATGGAGCAAATGGGTGAGTGATGTCAAACTGAGCTGATGAAATGCTGAAACAGAAGAGCATATTTCTTAGTTATGCAGATTTTAATGCATAGGTAGAAAAATGACAGTGTCTTTACCATGTCTACTCTCTGTATAGTAAGATTATATAATCACAAGATCTGATAAAGCTCTGATTAAGTTTTAATTGAATAAATATAGTTGTTTCTAAGTCAAAATATCAGTTATGCAGCAAACTAATAATCCTGCAAATGTTTTACTTGATCACATTTAAGTTTTTGTAATGTGTGCACTCAAGTTCTTAGTTAATATCCTAATTTTTTAAATGCTTACTGAATCAAATCTCAGTTAAAGGACACTTGATGGCACAATGACCTACAGAGCATGTTTATGATTTAACTTTTATACACACTTACCGTCTACAAACACACAAATGAAGGAACTTCTTGTACTTGAAAAGTGATTAAGTCCTGACAAACTTCCTCTGATTGTTCAGAGCCTATTGAACATATTCCAATGTGTCTATTGATAGGAATTAACATGGTGAAGAGGAAGCTGGCGTCTCACGATAACCTCAAGATAACCATCGAACAGACTGGAGACAAGTTTAAGATCAAGGAGAGCAGCAATTTCCGCACCCTGGAAATAGACTTCACCCTGGGGGTCACCTTCGACTACAGCCTTGCAGATGGAACAGAATTATCCGTAAGCATAACGGGCTACTAGTCAGGCATCTTTTCCCATCATTAGACTTGATAATTACTCTGAAATAGGTCTTTACAAGAAAAGACTCAAGTTTGTCTCCAATCCATTTAGTTCTAAACACTTTGCGATGAGCTGGCTATTTTAATCACTTTAGACTTTGAACCTCTGAGCTGCAAGAACAAGTTGTTAGCTCAAGGCTTGACTTCTATTGTGCCAACCTGTTGATTTTTTAACTCACTACCATGAACAGCCATAAAACTGGCAGCCTTCTACAAACTATTCCCACCCAGTGTTCATGTCATTGATTCATTTTTCACCCTGCAGGGTGCATGGACCTTGGAGGGAGACATGATGAAGGGAATCTTCATGAGAAAGGACAACGGAAAGCAACTGACAACAACCAGAGTAGTCCAAGGAGATGAACTTATACAGGTGGGGTTAATTTATAACTATGCAAATTAGTGCACTAAAAATCGACATTTTTTTATTAAACATTTGGGACCTTGTTATGGAGGGTACAAAGATTAGGTTTTGTTGTTTAACTGTCTGAATATGTTGTCTGTATCTAATTCTGATTACGTATGTTAATATATTATGAGTAAGGACCTCAAATGCAGAATTTCTGTCTGAGAAAACCCTCTTGATGATTCAGCCAGATGCAGAAACGCATAAGTTGTATAGTAACTGTCCTAACCAACATAATCTTTCGTCAACAGAGCTACAACTATGAAGGTGTGGATGCAAAGAGGATTTTCAAGAGGGGTTAGACCAAACTGATCAACGAAACTTAACTGTGAGATGTTTGCCATCAGGATTACATGCAATATTTTGTTGAATTATCAACTACTTACACCAACATAACCTGTTAAAAATGCACTACTTGTAACGCCAATAAAGTATATGGAACAGATTTGATGCTGCTGGCCTGTTTCTTTTTCTTCTGTTTTGTATCCATCGAAATTTTCATTTTCAGGGAGGTTTGTGGAGGTTTGTGTTAAAGGGATAGTTCAGATCTTTTGAGGTGGGGTTGTGTGAATCTGGAAATCCATCGGTAAAAAACGAACAACCAAACAAAAAAAAACTTTAATGTAAATTGCAGAATCTGTCTTGAGAGATTAGGGTTGTGTAAGGTACTTATCCATGGTCAGTGTATTACATACAGCAGATGTCAGTCAACACGCCCCCAGTTTTGAGAAGCCGACTGGAGTCTGACATGGAAGCTATGCAATGAACTTCTGTGGAGGGGGTCAGCAACAAAACATATTTTCAGCCACCTAAAAAATATATAAACAGTTTAAATGTATGCTATACTACGAACATTTTCACCACTCCACCTTGCCGTCAGACAGCTATTTCTGACGGGAACTGAAGCTGCTATATCGCTCTCTTTAATGCCAGACTCCATTGAGAAAAACAACAATTTAACAGTGTTGAACACAGGAGCTGCTGGTCTATCCCTACGTCGATCAGCTGTTTTGTTTACTGTGTGACTTTGGCATTTAAACAGGGTTAGTTCAGATTCACCAAAGTCCCACAATAACACAAACAAAGCAGCTCCTGTGTTCAGCAAGCCAAAATGAGTGTTTTTGTCAATGGAGTCTGGTGACTTTGAAGAGAGCATAGATGGCGAACTGAAGCCATTAACGGCTTACCTGTCAGAACAGGCTGTCAGCGGCGGAAATATGCCTAATAGAGCATGCAAACAGTTTTTTAGGTGGCTAAAATACATTTGCCGCTGCCCCCACCCCTCCGTCCAGGCTGGTAGTACTGACGCTTCTTCAAACTAGAGGCGTGCTGACTGACATCAACTGTAGGTATTACACTGACTATGGATAAGTGCCCCATACAGCCCAACTTTAAAATCGGAACTATCCCCTTAAGTTAAAAAAAATACACAGTGAAGTGACTGATGTGAGAGTGATACAATAATTTAAACTTTATTCAACAATGAATAAAAATAAATATATATTATCTACAAAAATATAAAGTGTAGACAGATTTTATGTGTTTCTTTAAATTGATCTGTACTTACACAAGTCATGAAGCATTCACTGAAGCACCGACAACTCAATTCAACAGTAATGCAGGCCAAATCCTAAGCACATACAGAGGTATGACAATAGGATTCAGTGAGGCATACAGTTCCAACACATCAGCCAGTAACGTATCAGATAAAATCAGCCACATAATGGGGGAAAGTTCGTCTTTGTTCTTGAGTGTTGATGCAATACAGTCTAATTAGGTGCTGTCCCCGTATATTTAGCACAAGATAAAAGATATGGATTGATGCAATGCCAACCGTGACGTCATGTGACACAGGACATAAAGACCTTTTGTCACAGTATATAGAGCCTTAGTATGAATGAAGATGGGGCATGGGGCGCAAGAGGAAAACACAATTATCAGCTTCTTTTTCCAAGCTCGCACACAAACAGATACACAGGCATGCACGTTTAATAATAACCCAAGTAAATCTGTCAGTTATTATACATTAATGCTCTTTCAAACTGGAAGGTGGGATGCACGTACAAGCATCAAAGCATGACATTTGAACATGTCAGACTTTTGCCAGTGCAGCTGGATGCAGAGTGACCAGTGAGTTGTTGTGGCTTCCAAGTCTGAAAGGGCTTTTAGGAATATTGTACCTGGCACAAATCCGCCCTCCTCCCGTCACTCCCTCACACACACACACACACACACACACACACACACAGGCATGTCATCAGATATGTCAATATTAGCATTGCATATTTAAAAGGTTTTGCATGACATCCTCCAACCCTTTCATTCATTCAACTTCAGTCCCTCACTGTGGTTTCACTCACATAATAACATGTCCCACTGAAAAATGTCAAGGCACTCTGGATACAACTGAAGACACAAAGTTCAGAATTTAAAATACAACTGGTGTGGAAATGATTCCTATTTTTTACAGATGAGGAAAAGAATTCAATAACAGGAAAGGTACCATAAATAGGTCACATAAGAAAACACACACACGCACGCACAAAGAAAATCACATTGCAGGTGAAACAACATGAAGATAATCTGGTTGATCCAACTGAGCTTCATCTAATTCAATAGTTTAGTGATTTTATCATCCAGTGAATATATTAGATATTTCATAACGGTAAAATGAGTGATTTATAATTACGACAGCACAATCTTGTGTAAAGGCATCCTTACATTATTTGGACAATTAGACTGCTCGATAGCTCAGTTACACTGAAAGCCTTCTTTTTCTTTGAATTGAAGGTCCAGTGTGCAGGATGTCGGGGGATATACTGGTAGAAAAGTAATATAATATGTATGCTTTCTTAAGTGTAAAAGCACCTAAAAATAAGAATCGTGTTTCTGTTACCTTAGCATGAGCTGTTTATATCAACATAGGGGGCAGGTCCTTGTCCACTGAGATCATCATGTTGCACTAGCATGTTTCGACAGTAGCCCAGAATGTACAAACTAAATAGTGACTTTAAATAGGGCCACTGGCATTTTCGTATTGGCCACCGTTAGCAGCCCCTTTAGAAAACACTGATTTTTCAACGTGAAAGTGATTCATTCAGTATTTTTACCGGTTTAAATCGCCTGGTCCATTTGTTTTGGAGAGGAAAAGACCCCTGCAGATAATTCAGCTCCTGGTAGAAACCTCCTGAACATCTGGATCTTAAGTTATCAGAGAAAATATGTGAGCATTCATTAGCAGGTGCTAGGCTAGCCTCGGAGACTTGATTTGTTACTCGACTCTGCTTTACTCAGTGTTTCTACCTGTTGGAATCACTTGGGTAGTTTGTTTAGGAGAGTAAAAGACCTCTGTGGGTAGGTCAGCTCCCAGTGAAAACCTGAACAATGAGCACTTAAGAAATCTAACAAGAGCTGTTTCAGCTGGTTGCAATCTGCAATCCTCACCACTAGATGCCACTAAATCCCCCTAAACCTTACACACTGTTCCTTTGATCAATGTCAGTAAACAAACCACGACAAATCCAAGTAGATGCTCAAATTACAAGTTCAGTTGTGGCAACTCAAACAGGCATATACCCACACATACACACACAAATCTCTACACACAATCCTTTAGTGTCAGACAGCACAAACACAGCAAAGTTAGTGACTGAATGTGTGCGCTTAGAATAGAAATACCTGGACAAAGGTTATTGTGTTTGGACAAAAACACACAGTGAAAAGATATGCATAAATGGCAGGAAAAGACTTGGCAATATAGTGAGCACAAAAGAAAACTGATATCAATATTTCAAAATTGACCTACATTGATTTTTATGTGCTCTCGGGAATGTTGGATGTACAAAATACAAAGCCTTAAAAATGCCAAATTCTGCTTTTAAAGTAATCGTAAAGTCATTTTCAGTGAATGCATAGTATGTCTCAGACAGTCACTTGTTTTCCAGCGTATTATTTGCATCACATGTTCATATTTACAATGGGTGCATAACCAAACGTATGTGTTGCTTCATGAGCACGAGAAGGGGAACAACATTCAAGTGCTACAAAAGTTTCCAAATCAAATGTCGGCACAATTTGCTATTTAATGACTAGATTTTATCACAATTAAGTAAAATCCAATAGAATTTACGTTTTATTGGACTCAAAGTCCGGTATTATCATGCTCATGCTTATGCTGTACTCACAGCTACTAAGACTTTGTAAAGGCCACATGCAGGTTTCAGAACAGCAGTCTTACGAACAAGAATAATTGTTTTGTTGTATGGTCAATATCAGATAGGCATATTAATTATATTGGCATCATTATGAAAATACCTGCAAATACAGACCTGTTTAAATCCGTCTACTTTAAAAGGAAGACTGAAAAAATACAATTTGACATCACTGTGAATTACAAAAAAGGATTACAAGTACCAGCACTATCGAAGGTAAAATACACAAGGTGACACAGTATATAGTGACCCACTGAATAACATAAGGGCTGCCCCACCTACAGAACATCACAGTCAACAAATTGTACAACTTGGAGTCTGCCAAAAACTGAACACAGTCACACAAAATCACATTTTGGGAAACCTCTCCAAGATGTATACTTTGTAATGAACGATGGCGGAAGAATCTTTGCCAACAGACTTTTACAGCCAGAGGAGTTGACTGGTACGGGGCAGCCCTCAGTCACTCATTAACACATAAATGTTGTAAAACAGCTGATAAATGATAACACTTTAAACAAATCAGTAACTGAATATATGGAAGTGTTGCAATGTCTGTTTCCTGGTGACCTAAAGCCCTCGATGTGCATAAAGTCAGTAAGCTGCCCAGATATTACTCCTCTGACAGGTGCAAATAAGTGAACTACTTAAAACAGTGGTTCCCAACTGGTGGGTCGTGGTCCCAAAGTGGGTCGTGGGTCCTTTCTGAATGGAAGTGACTCGCGAATGTGTCAAGCTTGTAAAGAAAAAAAAAAGAAAAAAGCACACCTTATTTTGAAGTACGGGGTATTTCCAGCAAAGAGCTTTTATTTTAAAGCGACACTTACTTTTCTGGAAATTTTACGCCTTTCTTTGTTTCGGTTAAAATGCTATTAATAAGCTGATGGCACACTAAAATGTAAATGAATTCCACCAGAGATAAAAACTCATAATTGTACCATTCTCGTATGGCCCCCGCCCCTGAGTCTGTGAGACAACAAATATGCTGGAATAGCCAAAACTTCGGCTCTGCTTTCAAGCGATGACGAAGACTGATGCAGCTTCCTCCTGAGCTAAAAAGGGACGAGATGGTCGCAGAGTTTCTGCTGGACAGGTATTTTTAGTTTGCCTCTAATGTAACATAGGCTATAACGTTATATATGACAACACAGCATCTGGTTGCTAACGGCTAATGTAGCGTAGCCTCTGATACATTAACGTTATCTTCCTTGTGTGTTTCCACTTACTAGTAACG